GAACTTTTACATTACTCACCAGTTCCTACAGTTTTCCCTCCCTCTCGGATGGTGAAACGCATACCAGGCTCAATAGCCATATCATGTATCAACTCGCACAAAAGCGATGTATGGTCCCCGGGCATAATCATCTTTGCCTCGGGTTTCTCGGTTCCGGGCGGATGAGACAGAATGACTGTAACATCCGAGGTACGGAAGTACATCTGTGGTCGATAATTGTCCATGAATGGTGTATGACGTCCTCCTTCCTCCTTGGTCAACACATATAGTTGTGCCATAAATTTCTTGTGAGATTTGACAGTTCCGGGAGCAGCAATCACTTGTCCTCGTCGAATTTGTTCACGTTTGACTCCGCGAAGTAAAGCACCCATGTTATCGCCTGCCATGCCTTTATCGAGTTCCTTGTGGAACATTTCGATACCTGTTAATATGGTTTTAGTAGGTGCACCCATACCAACAATTTCAATTTCTGCGCCTTTGGTGATTGTACCGCGTTCTACGCGGCCAGTGGCTACTGTGCCACGCCCAGAAATTGAGAACACATCTACGAAAAAAGAAAGAAATCACATGAGAGCGGAATGGGATAACGAAAATACTGATCTGCGTATCATGGTAATAACGAATCAATAACGTATCGACCCATGACATGATCAAATATCTATTCTATTTGTTATTTTTCGAAAACTCACCTTCAACCGACATTAAAAACGGTTTATCCAAGTCTCTAACGGGTGTAGGAATAAACTCATCAACAGCATCCATCAGTTTCCAAATAGCCTGTTCACCAATCTCCGAATCCCGGCCTTCCAATGCAGCCAAAGCCGATCCTTGAATTATAGGAGTCTTCTCACCATCAAAACCATAATGGCTCAACAAATCACGCATTTCCATTTCCACCGATTCCCACATTTTCAATTGATGTACGTAGTCTTTAATATAACATTGTTCACAAATCTATAATAATAAAGCCTGAAGCAGCTGTATTTGAATATTAGCTTGAGTATTCAGTGTAAGATCAGAAGATACTTATTATAATATTAGTATGATACGCGAAATATATTTTGCATCGGATACGTTCGTCAAACGTGACGGTGTCAATGGCGGTTACATATTTATAAAGTTGTGTAGTTTCTAAATAGGCCTATTTACTTT